CTGGCTCCTGGAGTGCTGAGGTGTGTACTTCTCCTTTCTCCTCTGAAAATTTCTACACCTTGTTTCATATTCTTATAGATTTAATGAAATATATTCAAATTATTTATGTTTCTGCATAGTCTCATTTTCATTGACGGTAATCGATCTTGAGTGTGCCCATCAGTAAGATGTCTTGGTGCCACTTCTGACAGTCTAGAATTCATAAATTAATTCCCTGTTTCACTGCAGCTGTTGCATAATGCAATAGTGCATTATTTCCCATCATTTTAAATGGCAAAAATATTTTGTTTTTATAACTTGACAAGCACAATCTGTTCCCTTCTATCTGTGTACCACTAATGTGGGAATATTTAAAGAAATTATTTTCAATCTACATTGTTTTAAAGTTAATTTTGCTCCACATCAATTCATTGTAAGTAAAAAATACATGCAGGGTAGCCAAAACTTGATACAAAATATATTTTCATCCATCTGACAAGAAAACAGTAATTCTAGTATAGAAAAATACTTGCAATACAGACAACTATTTGGGTTGATGGGATTGGGATGTTAAACTGTATTTATTCTATGAATTTTTTGGATGTACTCTGTGTATTAGTTCATAATTAGCTTTCTTTCTGTATTTTAATGAACACTTATTACAAATATGATATAATTTCTCGACAGGGATAATTCCCTGGCCATTATTGTAATAGAATTGGTAGCAGTGTTCTGGAAGACAAAACTGTTTCTTGGGGTTACTCAGAAGCAGATTAGGGAGTGGAAGTGACTGACATTACTGTGGAGTAAATAAATCACGCTTGGGCCCAGGACTCTCAGGAAAAGGTGCTGGCTACAGATCCATGATACCAACCCTTCCCTTAAGCAAACAGAAACCTTTCAGTAAATGTTGCTAAGACCACGCTGGCCTCAGCTGTTAGAAACAGCAGCCTAGATCCAATTTATCCCCATGGAATGTGCCTCCAAGGCCAAGAGAGGCTCCAGATGCAGCTGATCCTTTCCTGTCTCTGCTTTCTTCCCTGTGGCTGGTTAGTCTCTGAGCAAGATCAGGTCACACCCATCTTTCAAGGACAAGGCAGGGAAATTAAAGCAGTGCTGGTGAAATCCCAGCCAGTGTGAGGACTCCAGCTGGTGGCAGTGAGGTTGGATTTAGCTCCCAGCTGCTGGGTGAGAGCACTGTCCCTCCAGTGTCACTAGGCTGGCAAGGCCTGTGCTTGTCCTCCTTTGACTTTGGTGGGGAGGTGTTATTGGAAGAATGCCCTGAAGGATTTAGCACAAACACTGGATTTTTGATTAAAAGCACACGTGGTTTCATTTCATAGTGTTTGAAAAGTTGCTAATTTAGAAAGTAGAAAAACTCCCACTTTTAATAAATAGGTAACATTTTGTTGTCTTTGTACACGAGATAGATAGGAATACTCAACACATAAGCCAGGACTGAATGCTCAGAGAAAGGTTTGCAAAGAGGCTGTGTCCTTGATGAAATTTAGTGGTGTAAGGACTCCCCAGTAAGCCCAGGTAGCTCTCTAGGTTGTCTTACTGGTGCTTGCAGGCTGGAGCTATCTTACTGATCCATGCCAGGAAGTTATTGGTAAGGAGGTTAAATCACTGTCTATAATAAGGTCAGAAATAGTGAAAGATCACTTATGAATTTGCCTAATAAGCATAGAATGGCAGGTTTCTCTTCTAGTGGCTCAGAAATTGTCCCTCTCTCAGCTTTACATCACCGTGCAGCTGGAAATCGCTCGGGGCAGGGAGGCTGTGATGCCCTGGGGAAGGGGGAGAGCAGTGCAGCTCATTGACTCATTTTAAATTGGCACATCAGGGAGTCCACATCCATGGCTGCTGGCTACTTCCCTGTGGACTGTGTGCCTTTCTGAGGACAAGGCCCCTGTGCCAGCACCCCGAGCGCAGCACAGGCACTGGGCACCCAGCACCCCTTCTCACCTCTCTCCCTTTGACTTTGCAGACAGCGCCCGGGGTCCAGCGGAGGCTCTTTCGGAAAGTGCACAATCTCATCTCGGCCTTCCAGAAACCCAACCAAGGCATTGTAACCCCCCTGCAGCACCCAGTCATCAACCACGTGAAAGCCAAATACTCCCCAGGTACTGGTGGGGTGGAGGGAGCCTCGTCTGCAGCTGAGCAGAGCCCTCCATGGTGGCAGAGATGGAGGTCTTAGACTTATTTGTGTGTTTGACCTGAACTACCCAACAGAGTGATGTTGCCAAAAATGTACCCTAACTTTGTTCCTGTGTGATTGAAATGCTGTCACCCAGGTGCTCATTAGAGACAGGGCCTGTCAATGTAATGAGAAATTGGATTTTGACTGTGCATTCCTGACTGCTATAGCAGCGATGGCTGCCTTCCCTCACCTGCACCCTCACTAGTGTAGGTATGAGCCTTCTGATCTGTCCATTTTTTTGCAGTGTTCATCCTTTCATATCTTTGTGATTATTTTTCTTAGGGAGGAATGAAGGCCATGACTTCCACCTGCAACCATCGTGAGGATGATGTTTCCCCACGTGTGACATAACCACAGCTTCCAGTGTCTCCTCTAGTCTATGCTCTAAACCAGAACAATTTATATGATAGTTAACACAACTCCGTGAGTTTTCTTGTAACATTTACAGAAATGTGTATTTCATAGAATTTATAGTTCAAAATGTAGAAGTTTAAATTTCAGAATACTTCGAATTTGGAGTGAGGTTTTTTTTTTTTTTTTGGTTTTGTTTCTGTTTGTTTGTTTGTTTCCTAAGAGAGGACAAAAAAAGGATGAACGTAATATTTTTCCCCCTTTGTAATGTCAAGTAAAAAATATTTTTCCCTTTCAGATTAGTTCTTAATTAATAATTTGTTGCTAATTTTACATTGCTGAACTTTGGAGTCTACTTTGCTTTGTTCTGATTGGCTTTTATGCAGAACTGGGCAAGTCCCCTTTTATAGCCTTAGGAAAATTGTTTACATTAAAGTGTCCTTGCCTTGGGTGGGCTGTGTGTCTGTCATTCATACAGTTCCTAAAGATATTCCAGAATTGACACTGTGAGGATCCCCACGAACTGCTTTCCCATCACACCAGGCGTTCTGCCCTGTAACAAAATCTGTACCTTGCTCAAATGATCAGAAGCATAAGAAATGCAGACTGAGAACACTCAGTGAAGTGGAAAGCCTGCTTTTTTTGCTTTTAGGTGTTCTCTGTACTTGAAACAAGCCACCTTTGCATACAATTTAAATGGATAAATTATTTTTCATGACAGTTTCTCTGCTTTTCTTTTCGTATGCGTGTACTTCCAATGCTGCTGCTGGGCTCCTGGAGAGGAGGTTGAATCTACAGGACTTGTCAGCTGTGCAGGGTTAGTGGGCAACATGTTGCTAAGTTGCGGCAATGTCAGTTCATGACTCAGTTTCTGTCTAATTGAAGGCCAAGTTTCATTTGCAGTGAAATGTCCTATTTTTACACTGTATGTATGTGTTGCTCTGCGCCGCCTTGGTACGTATGCTTATTGGTTGAAACAGGTCTTACCCTAACACAGTGCAATACAGTGGCAGATCCAGCATGATTTCCTCTTTATTAAAATATTTAAAGGTTGTTTTTTAAATTGTTATATAACTCAGCAAACACACTGGCTGCTTTGCTGTTACTTGTGCCCATTGAATACTTGTGCCCTCCTCCTCTCTGCCTCAAGGCTTACCCAGCCTGTTGTGAGCCCGTGGCATATGGTCCCTGGCTGTTCCTCTCCAGCTCTGTGCTCCTGCAAACCATCCTTCCCCAAAGCCAACCAGCTGCTGGGTGCTCTCAGTATGAGCGTGTGGCCCCAGCCTTCCTGGGGAGCATTTTTCCTTTCCAAGTGCTGGGTCCAAACCCCTGGCCTCTCCTGGGAGCAGGAACAAGTGTGCTTGGAAACAATCCCTGACAGATGATTGCAGGGATAAATGTAGTGGGGAGAACTTTGCCCAAGGCTTGTTTGCCATGGAAATGTCCTATTGGCTTCAAGCAGAGGCTGAGGCTGCATGTGCAAAACCTGAGGCACACAAGCAGCAGCTGCTCACCCGCTTTCTGCGGTGCAGTGAGCTGAGGATAACTTATTTGACTAAGGCTGGCTCCAAAAGTGCATTGTTCTTCTAAAAAATACATAAAATAGGCCAGAAGGTGCCATTTCTGTTTAAAGCTGAGAATGTTGTTTCAGTTTCTGATGTAAATTATTAAGACAGAGGTTGTGTTGTTTCTTTTGGATACCCAAGAGTATGGAATTGCTGTAGGCTTAAACAAGGTGGAAACAGAGAGAAGCTGATGGTGCCTGTGAGACAAGGAGTCAATGTTTGGTTATAGGAACAGTAAGATGGAAATTATATAGATTTCATACAATGACAAGTGTGAAGAGCTACAGATTCTTTTAGAGAGCAGCAGCTGCATTTTGTGTGCCTCAGCTCTCCTGCTTGGTAATGACCCAGCCCAACTGCTCCAATGTTTTTCATCCTGTAACCTTTCCTTTAGCCTTAAACATTCCCTTCTACTCTTTCTTTCACGTGCTCCTCCTCTCTGCTGCATGTGCTGGGCTTTTTGTTTTTTATTTTCCTGGGTACATACTTTTGACACCACAGTCATTCATCATCATCTATTTGAGGCAGCTCTAAAGAATGTGAAGAACTTAAACTTTGCTCCTCATCCTACTACCACGGTTGACTTCACCCACTCCGTTATTAGGAATGCAAAGGCATTTAGCAGAATTATTTTTTTCCCTCTCACATTTGCTTTGATGAAATGTAGTAACCTGTGCACAGAAACTGGCTGGGATTTCACCTGTAGTGAAACCTGCAGAGTTATAGGCATGAACTTTGGTGAATCAGAAGTAAAATTAAATCTTGCTAAGCAACCTCCTGGCCCCCAACTTTTGAATCAACCAATATTGGCTAAAGCCCTTATTTAGCTCTATGGAAGCACCTTTTACTGACAACCAGAACATCCCAAATACTCCTGTAAACAAAGACAACATCACACGCCATCAGTTTGCACCTTTATTTTTTAAAAATGAAATAGTCAAAGTACTTTCTTTTTCAAATATCGACACATAATATATTAACTTTCAATATTTACAGCGTGTTGCTGGGATGTTCTTGTAGAAAATGCATGCTTCTGGTCTGAAACCCAGAGCAAAATGCATCAGACCATTTAACTGCAGCCATATAACATAAACCTGTACAGTATCCAGTCACTATTCAGCACAGGAGTTAGAGCAGGAATAAAAAAATTGGGATCTATTGTTTCCTAGCAACGAGGCTGAGGCCATTATAACACAATTTCTGTAAGATCAGAACCTCTAACTGGTGTTAGACAGAAAGTGAAGATCTTGGCATACATTGTAAACATTTTTTACTGTTGATGAGAAAGCTAAAAAGGAACGTTACTTTGACATATATCGTATGCTATGCTTCTCGTTCTCGTTTATTGACACTTCTGCCAGAAGAGTATGAAGATTGTAATGTTTTATCATGGTTCATACAAGTAAAATACTGTCAAGGACACGATCTGATATACTAACATTTATTAAAAGGCTAAAGTCCACCACGAGATCTAAGGAAAAACTGGAAATTGTCAAACACATTTCCTTAGACAAATAATGGCAGGTGACAAATGCCCAGACAAATCGACAGCGAGTCCGACTCCACCATTCCCAGTTTCTGCCTGGAAGCGATTCCTCTGGCAGTCAGGGTGCTTTCGACCCAGTAATGTTTTGTATCAAGGAGAGGTTTAAATAACAGTCAGCGTTTGACAGGAAAACCCTCAGGGCTGTGGGCGCAGCCTGAGCTGGGTGTCACCGCGCCAGATCAGCCACGCTACGGCGAGCGCCCCGGCGAGCGCCCCGAGCACACCAACACCCTGCCGGGGATCTGCCCACCTCCTTTGGCTCAGCTAAACCAGGAGCTCCTCTGCCTAAACCACCTTCCTCTTTGGAGCAGCACCTTGGCTTCCAACAGCACCCATTGCCATTGCTCACCCCGGAGAAGTGGCTGCCCCATGACCCCAGTCCTGGCCGCTGGTAAGGGGGCTCAGAGGGCAGGGGGTGCAGGGTGGGACCCCAGAGCACGAGGCCACCTCTGGCCAGCCAGTGCACAGCTGAGAAATGCAAAAGAGCTCAAACCAAAGAGCTAAGGTGTATACACCCAGTTGCACACTGACCAGTTCATATATATTTATTTGGCTATGTTCTACATAGATATCTATATATATATATTTATAACTTTGAAATGTTCTAGATTTGCTAAATAAATATGAAAGCAAAGGAAATGTTATTGTACACACTATTCGTTTGGTTGTCATAAAAAATATAGCACAAATTTCTCATGGTAGGTACTTTGCTACAGGATAGTGTGCAATAGTGGTTTTTATTGTATTTTATTTTATTTTAATTAATTTTTTCCACTTTCAGAACCTTGTTTGCAGTGCAGAACGATAGCATCAAATTACTGGATCTAAATAACAGTAAAAATTTCCATGCTATTATTTTTCTTTTTTTTTTTTTTCTCAATTGGGTCTCTAGGCTATAGTGCAAAATTAAAAAGAAGAAAAAAGAAAAAAAAAAGAAAGGGAGATATATAAAAAAAACAAAAACCCAACCCAACCAACCACTGAGAAATTGGTCTAACTACTAGGAAAAAAAAATGGAGACTGAAATATTCCCTGCCTCCATCTGAGGTTGTTCATGAACAAGATGGTCCAAAGCTGTTTGTTCATGTGGTTCTCACGAATCACTGCTGGCTGGCCCATGCGTATCTACAACTTCAGCCTCCCATGCTCTTGCAGTAATAACACATTTCTTTAGTGCTGTAATCTCAACACAACATTTATATTCAGTTTCCTAAATTTACGAAACTGTTACAATGAAGGCTTTTTTTTTTGCATTTGTAACTGGGCCATGTAATATCATGGGAGTCTTAATGGATCCATATTCTCATAAGAGATATTGTTCAAAACGTCCCTTAGACTGCACCCAGGAAATGGGAAAATGCCAAATCTACTCCCAAAGACAAACTTGTAACACATTTCACTCTTCGACCTTTTGGCATAACATGAGAACAACAGTAATCAAGGCAGTATTAAAAACCACAGCTGTAGGTAATACAAAGTGCATTTCCTGCATATAATACAAATATAACTTTAAGAAACTAAAGGCACAAGCTAACTAAATAAGTATTACATACTAGAAATGCACAGTTCAAGGTTATTCTAATAGCTTCAAATATTTGTTTATAATGGATATTTAAAGCAGTTTGAAAATGATCCTCATTAGTGAATTGCAAAAAAGTATAATTGCTTAAAATATAAGTAAAATAGACTCTAATATTGACATCTTGGATCAGTGATAAAATACATCATCACATTTATGAATGCACTCTCTATATACAATTCATAAATTATTCTTCCATTGATTAAAAGCATATTAGAGGCTCAAAGATTTGAAGGTCCATTTTTAGGCTGGTGTGGAGGTATTCAAATTCTCCGTGATTGTATGGAAAATTACAGAAATCTGAGCTGTGAAACCTGGATGTTGTCAGCTCCCTGTCCTGTACGGTAGTTAGTGATGAGCCTGATCATAATGTGTATGTGCAGATTTTGGTCCACAGTTCCCCCTGGCTGGGGATAAAGGAGGGTTTCAGGGACCAGGCTCTCACTCAGCCTGATCCTGCACCCCCAAAGCTGCGCTGGCTCCCAGGGGAGCAGAGGGAGTCTGGGAAGAGAAGATAATGGGGTGAGGCTGAGACTTGAGCTCAAACCCCAGCGAGGGGCGAGGGGCTCAGGTGCCAGTTCAGGCTCATCTCTAACTTTGGGTACAGTCTGCTCCACTTGCCCAAAAAACAAGGGAAAAGAGAAAACTGGAAAAAAAGGACAAAAGACAAAGAATGCACTTTGTTGGCTTCAGTAAATATGAACAGAAATTGTTTCAATATATTACTATGTCTGTTTTGAAAGAAATGTGCAATAACATCACTGTTACGGATACACAGGCTCTATAACAAGACTTCTAGCTCCCTCTGAAAGTCAGTAAAGGAAAACTGCTTGCCCATCCCCCCGCCCCATGTGCCCGCCCCACCTCCTGATAATCAGGTCTTATAAAAATGACAAGCTGGAGGAAGGATCACCTACTCTGCTATGAAGTAACTGTGCCAGCAGCGCATGATACCTTGGGAAATAAAAATTTCTGTCCATGCAATATAATGCTTTTCTATGTGCTCTAGATATTGAGCTGAAAAGTGAAGAGTCATCCCCAAAATGTTCTACGTTTATCAACATATTTACTATCCACACTTAGGTTCATCAACTCCCAACCCACCAATCTTCTTCAGACTTGGAAAAATGAGTACTACAACAGGATTATTAATTTGAGATGAAAAGAACACGATGCCTAAACCCAACAACACTGCAAATTCCAAATCATCTGTGTAAAGACTAGTCCTGGCCCAGTGACTACAGACAGGACTGATCCTGCACGGCTTGTTACTGCTCCCTGTGGGCTCCCAGCTGGGTTGTCCCCAAAGCACTGGGTTAAAGCCCAGCCTGGAGCACACCGATACTGGTGGAGAGCCTCCTAAAGATTATAGCTTGGCTGAAGCCTGGTAATGCTGTGCCACCCACATCCCTGACCAGGAGTGTGCTCCCAGACTGCAGTATATTCCAGTGTCAAGGGAAACCCTGGGAGAGAGGCCCCCCACACACGAGTAGACACAATGTGGTGTTCAACATGGGGTGACTGAGGGGCAGCCACAACAGAGTAAAGGCCACAGGGGACAGCCTTGTATGTACTGAATCCAACACAAGTCAGATTTCCCAGGTTAGAAAATCCCTTAGCTCCTGGCTATGAGGAATGACATGTGCGGGGTTGGTGAGCAACTACGAAGTTTCCATACACAGTCTGGTTTCTGTGTGCAATCCCTTGAACTTATGGGAGATCTCACTGGGATAAAAACCACCCAGTAAATACGGGTTGCAGAATCAGGCTCTGTAACCTTTTAAATAACTGGTGAATTATTAAACCAACAACAAAAAAGTTGTGTTTCTTTAGAAGAAGGCAGAGCATGTGGCGCTCGCCCCTACCCCGCAGGGCTGTGCGGTGTCACCCTGGGCACCTCGCGCGCAGGTCGCGGCGCTCGGCTCGGACTCTGCTTCTGAAATTTTTGAATACTGCCACACAAGAACTAAAAATTGTCACTGTCATCTCTCAAAGAGTTAAACAAACAATATTAAAATACCATCTTCTGTCACATTTAAAGGCAGTTGGATATGTTTTTTTTCCTCTATATTTATATATACAGAGTTCTGATCTAGAAAAAACAATACAATAAACCATTTTACGTTTAAAAACAGGCAGTCTTTGGTGACGCAAAGGCAGAGATTTTCTTTGTTACCTTCTGCCTATTTCACTCTGTCTCATGAAGTGAATATTATTGGCACTGTCAGAAAGTTCGAGATACTGCTCCACAGATAAAACAAAATATCCATCGTAGCCTTGTACCCTCCCAGTGCTTAAAAGCTGCTGTTTCTCTCCATCTGTCCATGCTCGAATTCCTTCTTCCCCCTCCTGTAGCCGTCTCTGCTCCTTAGTCCAGGCCTGAGCCACGGCTCGCTGCCTGGCTATCTCCAGGACGTGGTTTTTTTCCTCTTCCACTGTTGTTCCATAGCGCACGTTAAAGCAGAGCGCGCCGTGCTGGAGCTGGATGTCAGCAAAGCGTCTAGTCCTCCCGTTGATCACAGAAGTCATCTGCGACACCGTCACGTTGACGCCGTTCTCCAAGATGCGGCGCCCTCCGGTGCTGCCGATGAGGGCCAAATCTTCTTCCAGAGAGCCCAGCTTGATGAAGTAATGGGTGTCTCGGCCCTCGATGGTGAAATGCAGGTTCTCCAGATAATGGGCATTGTTGAGGATGGCAGCAATGCGCCGGCTGTCCTCGTTAGCCACACCGATAATGTCAGCTGTCACTATCCCGTCCTTTATAGCGAATTTGATGCCTTTCCCGAACACTGACGGAACCGCTGCAAATCTCAGTTGCTTCACTCCCTCAGAACACTTGCCATCACTGTACCTGGGTGTCATAGGAAGTTGGTCCAAGGATATAAAGTTTCGGAGTTGCTTTTGTAGCTCACACTGAATGCCAAGGATAGTCTGGAAAAGAAAATACCAGTCAAGTTTGCAGGTGAGGCACCTCGCAGTTCATTACAGTATCTCACAGACCCTTATCATCTCTTAATTGCTTAGAATGGATCTTCAATTTGTTTGGAAAATATTGTACACACTTATAGAACCTGGGTATATGCACAGGTTTTCTAATTGCCTGTGGTAGTGCTTTCTGTCTCTTGGACTCCTTCATTTCTAGAAAGCAAATGGAAAGCTGTTTATCACAAATGCTATTTTTGTACTTTTTCTTCCTTTAAATTCTTCCTCCCCCTTGACCAGTTACTCTAATGGCTGGTCTTTCAGCCCTTAGGCAGTTCAGGAAAAGCTGAACTCAAAGCCATGCTCATCTTCTGTAAAATCACAGTAACAGATTTTATAGTTCATTCTTTAAGGAAAGGAGGTTGTGAAGGTCTTAAGGCACTAGAACAATAGGAACCAGGCAAGTACATCACATTTGTAGATCTTTCTCCCCATAGAGGCTAGAAGAAGCTTCATTCCAACCATCTCTTTGTTTTTTAACACTATACCCATCACTACATCTTTTTTGTGCCTTTTAAAAGCTTCTTTAATATATCAGTCACAATTTTACATGGACATGCCCCTACATCAGGCGTTACCCCCCAGCCTTCTGCACTTGGTGCAGTTGTTTGTGCATGGGAAGTGTGTTAAATGTTGTGAACTTGAATGTGAACTCTCAATGCATTATACTTCCCATTCCTGACTGCGTTAGAGGAAAAGCATCTTTATAAAATCATAGTTCTTTGTTAACAGATGCCCATATGGTCAAATGCAAAACATGAATGCTTGCTCAGAGGTAGCTGGTCCTGTTGCAGTTACATTGATTGCTGGACTCTGATAGCTGCTGCCTGGCTCCTGTTTATGGAAAATAAGCCCTGGAGCAAGGCTGAGATTTACAGACCCCCTACAAATCCATAGCAACATTTCTGTTTCCTGCAATAATTATGCAGAGGTACTGACTTGTAAAGCTGTTTATAACCTCAGTGATTCTGCAGCTCCTGTGGCATCTTTGCTAACAAAGATGAACATCTGCAGTTTTAATTTTTCAATTCCACAAGACTTTCTGTGGCTTTTTCAATTTTCACACAAACACTTTTACTCTTTTGCCTATCCTGCTCCTCAAATTTGGATATTTTCTCTATGATCAGCTGCAAATTTCCTTCATTCTGTTGCTAAAAGCTTCTCCTTAATGCTCTCCTCCACTATGATGCCAGTACATAATTGACAACATTAAAATTTCTAGCATTGTTAAAGTATTTGTCTTTCCCTTTATGTTTAAAGAAACACTCTCCTTGTTTCCTTGGTCTCCAATATTTTCTAATAAAACTCCTTAATTTAGTATTAGAAGCAGCTAAACTTAGTTTTTGCTAACCTTTCCAGGATCCCACTCTTGGGTTTTTGTTTGAAGCTGTAGAAGTTCGTATGTTGTCCCCAAAGCTTCTATCTCCGGTTTTGGGAATCCAGGCAGCACGTTGTGCAACTGGAAACCAAACAACTCCAGCCAACTTCCAATGTCTATAAAACAAGAAAAGGATGTTAGCAAAAAGGCACATAAATCCTAGAAAATGGGCAGTCTGCAGAAATTCCAGCTAGGCAGAAATAATGATTTCACATCAATTTATGCTTCCTGTACTAGTTACAGCATTTATTGTAGCAAACAAATTATTTGGTTACAAAGCATAGCTATACTCAAATCAATAGTGCTCCTTCTATCTATTTATAATGGAAAAAATTAAAATTAAGCTGCCTCCATTCTTCTCCTAATTTTAGCACTGAGAAAAGCAGCAGAAACAACTATTAATTATTTTCTAGGTTACCATAAAGGCTATAGAAAACAGGTCAAGCTCAGTAAGATGCAGTCTATTAAAGAAATTACTTCAATACATTTAAGATTAGAGACAAAAAGTAACTTTGGATGTATACAAAAGATTTCTGGAATGTTGAATCCATAACAGAATTTGATAAAAAGTTTTCTTTTAATGAGAAACGTGTTACTTTTACCTGTTGTATACTTAGCAACATCTTGGATTCTGCCAACTGGATAATTATTTTCAAATGAATAGAGATTAAATGGTTGTGGGACAGCATTCAGGTGCTTCCATATATGATGATTTGGTGTCGTCCACCGACCAGCAATGACATCATAGTCCCGCTGACCCAGATGAACTAATTTTGTAAGAGAATCATACAGTCCTCCATGAAAACCAATGATAACCTCGAAATCTGGATTAGTGTCCTGGTAGATCTCTCCATATGGGGTGTACAAAATTTCTTTTATGACTTGGCCTCGACTGCTAAACACAGCTAGAGGTGTTCCAGTGTTATCACAAGCAACATAATATTCTTCTCCACTGCTTAATTCCATCGCAATGAGATGACCTTGAAGATCATAATAGAGGGATGTTATTTCTGAGCTAGAATGATTGTACAAGTGAGTAACTCTTATTGGATTGGAGAGATCAGCATAAAAGAACTGTAAGTGTTGTCCTAGGCTTGATTTGCTTGCTACTCGTCTTCCAAGACCATCATAACAGTATTGCACAGTCCAGCCAGACACTTTGTTGTACGCTTTGTTCAGCAGACCATTAGAGTTGTACTCAAAGATCTCATTGCCTCTTTGCCTGAGAAAGCCATCTTCGTCCATTTTGTATTGAATTTCTCCAAGCCTGGTAATGCGATCTCTCAGATCGTATCTCAGAGGGGTGAGGCGCGCGCTGTTTCCGTGGCTCAGCAAGTTGATGTTGCCATTAAGGTCATAGCTGTAGCGCCACTGGGTTTTGTCATTCACAGACACGGTCTGGAGCTGACCATCAGCATCGTATTCGTAAAAATACCTCGTTATATTGGCATCTACGCCCACGCGTATATCACAGATCACCATGCGCCCCATGTTGTCATACTGGATGGTCATCCAGTAAGCGATGGACTTGAGAATTTCATATTGCACTTCGATCACCTGACCGTTGGCACTGAAGATTTTGGTATGCTTCATCACAGTGGTGGTTATAACTTGGTTTAAATCATAATTAATTACACTGAATTTTCCAAATTGTTCAGTCCTGCCAGAAACATCGACGTAACGGTACAGATCAATGGGAAGAGGCGTCTCGTTGATCATGGCCTGCATGCTCGTGACACGGAAGTTGTTATAGCTGTAGTCAAATCTGGCATTTACAAGCCCTTCTTCGCTAAACCTGAAGATTTGGCGACCAATAAGCGGACCTGTCCGACACAAATAGGGGAAAAAGGAATAATGAAAATAATGAATGATGTCCACAGTTTACTTACCCTACAGATCTAACACAGACAGGCCATGAACTCAAATATACCCTTAAGCCTTAATTGCTGCTTAACTGCCTCAGAAAATACCATTACTAAGAATATGTTAGATTATTCTCTCACAAACCTTTATTAATGCTTCCTCCACAAATTATTTATATTTCATTAACATTCATTTAAATGAATGCTGGTTTATTAATAATTATTATTTCTATTTACTTACAAGATAATTCTTAACTAAATTTATTTTACATGGTGATTTCTTTCCTTATACAAACAATCCTTTTGAATTTATGTTATATTATGGTGTAAACAGGGAAACTTGAAAATACAAACTATAAACCAACTTGATTTAGTGTTTAGCAAATATCCACACAGTGGAATAAAAACAACCAAACATTCTAAGAGCTATTCCATACCAAGCAATAAAAAGAAGACTGTATTTCAAATGGGACAGCTATATTCACCTATGGACACAGACACAGAGATATACACACATATTTTTCTATTGAAACATAAAATATAAGAACTCGTAGGCATAAAAATAATGGAAGTTCATGCCAGGTAAGCGCAGGATCAAAGCCAAAAACTTCAGCAAAGTAGCCACCGTTACACAAACCTGTTTGCCTGTATCTGATGGTGCAGATGAACCCATCATGCATTAAATGTATTGTTTTGATAACCCCAGAAGATTCCTCGTAGGTGAACGTGACCTGGGTGGTATCATAAAGAATCTCAGAGAGCCGGGACTGCTTGGTGTACTTGTAGAGGACCCTGCGGCCTGTCCCGGGGTACAGGGTCTGGAGCAGCCGCCCGTCCCTGGTGAGGTCCTGCACGAAGGCGGCGCCGCTGTCCGGAGGGGTGTAGATGTTGCGGTAGTAGCCGACGGACAGCATGGTCTGCAGGGCGTGGCGCACCATGCTCGGCATGGTGACCGACAGCAGGTAATCCGACTGGTCGTACTCGAAGATGTAGCGGCGCTGGCTGTGCAGCAGGAGCATCACGGACTGCAACCAAACAGCAAAGGGCAGGGTAAGGGGCTGATCAGGCATGTGGTCCTTCGCCTAGCGAGTGCCTGAAGGTTATGGGAATGCTGAAATAACCGCTCGCTCTTGTAGCGCGCTTTTATGGTCTGTACAGTTCCAAGTGGAGCTTTCAGCTCCAGGAGACCTGGCCAGTGAGGTGGTACAAAACAGGAGGAGAATGATAATAAAGCTAGAGGTAAGGATCTCCAAACCGGAAGGCAGATGTGGCTCTCAGGAGCATTTCAGCCTCATGCTGTCTTGCTATGTTGCTTTAAAATATTTAGGTCATTCTCTCAGGAAGCAAATGCAGAGAAAACCTCTTCCTCACACACAGGCAGAGCATCTGCACCAGCAGATGTGCCTAAGGGAGTTGGAAAGGGGAAACTTTGTGTATATACAAGGTGTTTAGCTTTCACTGGCACTCTGTGTATCTCCAGCACAGACCTACCCCTTTTTTGTACATCTTCTTTTAAATGCACGTCACTTCAGAGCTCACAGTATCTCCATGCTTACAGATGGATGAAAATAGCGTGCAGGTTCTTTGGTGTGACTACTTCTATCGTTGGTTTTTAATTTTTACAAAGAATATAATTTCTACACAGGTACTTGATACTTGCCCTGTATAGGTTAATGGTCAATGAAATCTGGTTTGTTTGTCTGCAAAGCAAATGTGCAAGCATGGCAGACTTTTTTCTGTCAATAATTAAAGTTTGGGTCCTGCAAACCTTTTTACCTGTCACGTGCAAAGTCACAGTGCCACAGAGTACAAGCCTGCTGGTGAACAATCATTGTTGAAACAAGCATAGTGAAAACAAAGAGTCAAACTGTATGGGGGAACTCTGCAGCCTTTCCCCACTCCAGCAAAACAAAGTCTTACAAGGTGTGACTGCTTTCTCACAGAGCACCGGGGAACGAAATCAGAAAAACAGTACTTTTTTCCTCTAAGCTCAAAAATCTTCTCTGGGAAGGAAGCACCACAAGCTCAGCCCTGCAATGTGTTAATAAAACGTTGGCCCTGAGCCAGTTTGCTCTGACAAATAAACCAAGTGTTCATTCAGAGGGCCAGAGACAGGCTCAGCCTTGGCCATCCTCTCTGCACTCCCAGCCCCCTGCTTGCCCAAGATGTGTTTCTTCCTGCCCTCGGCGAAAGACATCTGTCACCTGTACACCAGCCAGAGAGCACCAACATATGCCACTCCAGGTCACCCTGTGCCAACTGGTGACCACAGACCTTCACACCGAGCTAGTTCTGATCACTTTATCGCTGCTCGGCCAAGCATCTCCAACAGCACTGTGTTTATTTTGTTTCCACCTCCAGTCAAGAGTCTCCAGTCTGCAGTAAACCACTGCCTGAACTCTCTCCTAGCACTGTTGTGACGCCTCTCTCTATATACTGCTCCCACGCCTGTTTTTAAGCTGTCTGCCATTGACAGAGTATGAATAACAAGATCAGAAACATCCCCAATATAACTTTAGTGCCCCTGTGTGCCATTTTTACAGCACTTTGTGGCTTTTCCACTTTTGTTCAGGATAGTAAAAGGACAGACAGTACTAGGGCTGGAGACTTAGTATCCTTTCAAGCCTATTAGAGGATACCATAAAGAGAAAAAAAATTAATTCCCAATTCATCCTAATAATATTACAATGGATTTTTCAACTCTGCATAAATTGGGTTCTAATTGTTTTAAAGGATTTCGGAGAGTAGCTCATAAAACATCCAAAAAGCTGTCATTTCATTAAAGCAGCCAGAGCCTGGTCAACCACAGAATGATTGATGCCGTATGGTGTATCAAGACACACAGCCAGTGGCAATTACTGAGAGCTCTGCTGGGAATAGACAAATGCTGAGCATCACCACTAGATGTCATTTCTGTCCAATGTACACATGCAGACAGTCATCTGTTTTGTCTGCTGGATTTTGGAAGCGAGCTTGGAGTGTTCAGGAGATTTTATATCACCATTAATTAATTGAGGAAAGTGACCAAAACAGGAGGAACTGAATCTCATCAGTAAGAATTATTTCCAATGCAAATGTCACAGTGCTTTTTAAAACCTTAATTGTTTGAGCTGATTTTGTAAGGGTAGAGATTTTTGAAGATGTACAATTAACTCATCAATTGCTAAAACCGAAGAATTAAATAACTATGAATTGGAAGCAAACTATAAAATTGATTTTTTTTCATATAAAGAATTATTGAGTCTTATGTGGTTTCATACAACCTTTAGCAATCATTACATAATTAACACAATGAGTTATTGACTTTAATGGAACCACAAAGTGATATTTCAATGTCTGTTTTTGACAGTGAATTCATCTTTCTTTGGCACAAGGAACAACAGTGATGAAAGTACATTAAATAGCTGGGAGATCATGTGCATGGTGTGTATGACTGAATCAGTAATCTTTTGCCATTTCCTTCTACAGGATCAGGATTTGGCCATTTCTTTAGAATTCCAGACTAACAGTGTTAACTTATATGACTTTATTTCTGAGCTCATCGTAAACTAAGAACAGACAAAGTGGTTTGGAAAGATAAGCAGTGTACATCTTTCCAAAATTATAGTCCATTATGTCCGAAGAAAATACCAAAAGATTCCTCCAAAAGACACATTGCTCAAATATTTGAAACCTGTATGAAATGCCTGTTTACTTGTACTTTGCAGAAGACCATACAGACAAAGAAACCCTGACAAATTTATCTGAAGCAAACTTCTGAAGCTCCTGGGGTATGCCAATCTTGTTAACACATGCAAGAACCATACTGCATGGAGACAGGGAGGGAATCACATTTTTATGCATTCTCCAGTCTCAATAATTTTTTTTTTCACTGGGTTAGGTTTGAGTTTTTTGAGGATCAAGCTTTAACACATTCAAAATAAGGATGGCACAGTTTATCTTAAAGGTACACATTTGGAACTCTTTAGTATATAAATAACTTCAAAGTCACTGGATTTTGTGTCTGTAATGCCTCCTATCAGTGTTACCTCACCTGCCCCCCACCCCCCACAGCCTTTTCCTGCAGTTTACAGGTTCAGAGAAAATGTTCTGCAAACTCAGGGTGTATTGAGTTGTCTAAGATGTTGCTATTTAAAAAAAGTTTGAATATGAGTTCACACTAAGTTCTGAGAGCCTTAAAAACACATACTGTTTTTTTGGTTTTGAGAGACAAGACGAAACGAAATGTTTCTACAGATGAAGGAGATGGTCTTAGTCTGTACAACACTCCACATTTTATGACCATTACCTATAGATATAAATGAAAATTACAGGACTCAGGGAATTTAGATGCAAAGTCACTATAAAAGCAGAGCAATAACTCATTTCATATTAATGTTTTCCCTAAATGGCGCTCATGAATATTGAAGTGAACTTTCTCCTCACAGGATCAATCCTTTGTTTACAATGCAGCACTGAATAGGTGTAAGCTTGTACTCATGGGCTCATAATTTTGGCTTAAAAGAACTGTATTTTTGTGGGGGGGAAAAGTTCCCTTTCAGTGACTGTTATCTTTTTGACTATTACCCCGAGTAGCAACATGCTTTTCAGCAGTGATGGTGTCCTTTGTTCACTTAAACTTGAACTGAGACCAAAAAGTCATTTTTACCCACCAACTAAACTAACCTGAGGTGCTAACTTTCTTCAGAACTAAACTGTGGCAGGTTTGAGTGGGTGACATCTAGGTATCAGCATGTCCAGGCACATTTTTATCTAGTTATGCAATTCTGTGTATTTTCTATTTAAAAAGTCTTAAATACTCTTGCACAATATGATATCTATATAAATATGATATCAATATAATATCTATATAAAATGAAATATTTTTTGTCTTGGCACAACAATCCACTTTTTAAATGCCTTACCTTTTCTAGATATGTGTAACTCCATATTTTACCATCTGCCCATGTTCTGGAAATGATGTTCCCACTTGGATCATACTCCATTTTCTCAGTCCAGGTTCCTCTTTGGATATAGGTGACTAATCCAGAATGTGAATAAGTGATATTGACCTCATTGTACTTGCTGATGGGTGACCATAAGATGGGGCGTCCCGTCTGGTCATACATAATTCGAAGGGTGAATTTGCGATGATCATCGTAAATCTTCCCTGTTCTGGTCACGTGATCGAAATCAATGGAGAGCAGGTTTCTGTTGTGGGTCTAAACACAAAGATACAGTAAGGTAAGAAAACAGTGCATCCTAAGCACACATCAAAGTGAGCAGTGGTTTAACATTGTGAGCTGGGCCTTCCTGAAGACAAGAAAACAGAAAAAGATTCAGATGAGAAATAGGAGGACCAGAAAATAAAATGCTGCTTGCACTCGTTGTTATTATACTTGACATTACAGGATGCTTCCATGTGTTAAAGCCTCACCTCTGCTCTCACCTTTTCTTAAATTTTTCTTCTCTCTTCTCAGCTGTGGATGAACTCCTTGTCAAGTCCACAAATTAAGAAAGATCTACTGTCTCACATCCTCTCTCGAGCTCTGTTAACGTTGACAGGTCAGGTGCTGCTCTGGGTTGATGCCACAAAGGGCAGAGCTGTGCTTGCAGCTCCTGCAGACCCTGCTCACCAGTGTCCTCACACTCCTTCCCAAAGCCACCCCGCTCCCAGAGCTCCTGAAAGCCAGCAGCAGTGGTGCCCAGTGCCAGCCATAGTCCTTGTGGCAGTTCTCTCACCACGTTTGGGACCTGCAACACTTGTTAAACTTTCTGTGTCTGGGAGACGGACAGCAACCCGATGCTCAATCTGAAATCAAGTTCAAAGCTGAGCCAGAGTCATGAAGACAAAATGTATTTACCCAGTGCTATCATCATCTGCCTCCTTACATCATTAAGCCACTGGACAATCACTAATAAACGCCATTTAAATCTGAGATATAATTTAGGGAACCATAAAACATTGTTCATTGACTTGTCTTTTTCAGATCAATGCTCAATATGCTCATTGTATTAATCTGCCACATTTTATCTAATCAGTCTATTCCAATTAATAAGTTCCCTACAGCAGAGATGATGCCAGGGCAGGTGTTAGCACAGGGCATGGCACAGTGTTTGCCCCTTGCTGAGACCTGGAGGCACAGCCCCAGAGTAAATGGTTAATAAAACCTGTTTAATAATTCAAGCTGTGATTAGAATGAACATTTTTTTTTTCTTTCCCCTTTCTGTTTTTAGATACAAAATAACTTGAGAATATGGAAGATGCAGGTGTTCTTTCTTCAACTACCATTTCTGGGGCTTTATATACACACATGTCTAACTTTATTAGTGTTCATTTACAATAGCTGTAAAATATCTATATACCCCTGTAGACTGCTGTAACTATTGCAATTTATGACCTAATGATAGTTAAGGAGCCCAAGTAAAATGTGATGCTCAGTTCAACTATATTTGCTTGTATACAATCTGATGGATTAAGTTTAATATATTTTTTAGCAAACTTCTTGAAATCTCTGAAAACAAATCCTCTTGGTGGCAAAATAACTGAAAAGCAAGCAGGGGGCATACTCTATCTCATAGTCATTTATGTTCTATGTACATGTTTAATGTTCTTATTGCTATTATTATTATTGTAGAATGCAGTTAGGAGAAAGGAAAGTCTCGAATACAAATTGCTTGCAATCTGAATTTCAGAGACTATACAACAAATAAGAATGAAAAGCAAACAGAGACAGAATTAGCAGCGAAGTGGAAAGCGGCAGTAATTGAAAACTCACTGAGTTAAAATAAGGTTAAAATACTTCCCTTTTATTGCACATTTTATGTCTCATTTGTTTACTTTCTTATACTAAACTTAAATTTAATGCCCTTCTCAAGGTAAGACAGG